GGTGCAACTATAAAACATCTGAGATGAATCTGCGGGTATACGGTACCGAAGAAAATGTGCACTTAGTGGTAAGCTTTCATGCCTGCATTAGGCTCCTAATATGGGTGAGAGCATAAGGAAAAAGGGTGAGCAAATTACAAAACTTGGCATCCGCAAAAAAGTTCTATCTAGCAGAGTTATCATAATCTTAAAGGATTCTGATAGAATGCCATTGATTATGGCATTTTGAGCCAGTTCTAACCTTAAGGATACTATTAAAATAATGTACACTAGGAAATCTTTCTGATCGCTTTAGACAGTATATAAATTAAAACTGTGGATGGCTTTTCCTGAATCTATCTGATCGCTTTTGACGTTATAGAAATTAAAATTGTGGATAGCTTTTTCCTGACTTTCCGTATAGTGGAAGGAACGAAACGGAAGTTAGATAGATTTGTCTTTTTTCTTTTTGATTTTTAATTGAAGAAAAATATATGATAGCATAAGAAGCGGGTTGGACAATAAAATTATTTATCAATGTCCTATAACAAAAAAGGTTTGGTGTAGCCGCACACAATACCAAGCACTGCTCAAAGCTTATAGCTTTACGAGGGTAAGTTAGCTTTGCTCCATATGCTAAATGTCTGCAAAACAATGATAATTATTATTCACTCGAGAAAAGAAAATAAGAGCAAGAGATTACCATAACGAAGATTAACGGAGTAAGGGGATCATAAGGGCCTGAAGAACTGTAAGCTTTAAGAGTAAGGGCATTAGATCAAAGCTTTATTCCTTTTAGTAAAGCTCCGCAATTCTGGAGATTACAAGCTCTGGCAGTTTTCAAAACAATATATCAAACTATCCTAAAATTGAAACTGGCAACTAAAAATTGTGTTTAAAGAATAAGTCCTTTCATTAAAGTTAGCAGAAAACCTTCCATACATGTGAAGGTGTCAAATGCTCTAAATTGCGTAGTACTGCTTCCAATCATTTTTAATTCTCAAAATTACACTGTTATCTAATCGTATTTATGTCATTCCTTGCCCATCTTTGAATCTCACCTTCTAATACTGCTAAGGAAGTTTTTCTTGACCACGAGAGCAGAAGAGATAAAAA